CTCAAACCTGCTGCACAAACATGGCTCCAGGAGCAGCAGCAGATTGGGTAGTGGAGAACAACAAACTGGTTGCCAAACCAGACAAAGACGACATGCACGGCAGATGCCATATTTTGGGAATCTAGTGGCACTAGGAGAACAAGGAGGATGTCATCAGTAGGGAAGCTTGGTGTAGGCCCTGGTAGAACAGTGGAGTAAGAGGAAGGCACAGAAGTCACACGTCTTCGTGTCACAACGTGACCATGGAAATACCGCCTGTTCAGATCAGAATACAAAAGACAAAGCATGAAGTAGCTCAGCAATGCCTCTAAGCCCCTTTATAGTCTGCTTAGTGTGACAGTGAAGAGATGAGCACTCATATGTCCTCATAGCAAGATATAGCAAAAGGCGGGGAGTTGGTAGTTTCATCGCTGTTGTTTTAGCCCATGCTCTTTAGGAAAGCATTGTTCATTATGCGCTGAACGATAGCTGCTCATTGGACCACGGGTTCCAGTGCTTGCTGCGTGTGAATCCAGAACTATCTTCCCATGTGGCAGTGTGATCTATTAGGTCATTGTAACCACCTCACATGATGCTCTGATTCTTGTGTGTCTAGTGGAAGTTGTAATTGTGCACACTATTGAAACAGTGGAAATATTGAAGCTTGAACAGGCTGCTGCTTTCAGGGGTCACGGTGACCACTTCAGTTTGTGGTGCCGTGGCCAAAGTTATTGTCTTGTTCATCTCAGACGGACTTGTCAAATCTGTGGCGGAATCAGCTAGGTCTGTGCATTAGGCAGTAGGGTTTATGGAGCATGATGGGAAACACATTTCTGCTTTTTGCATGTCTAGCTGTTCATGCTGGGGAAGAGGACCACATTATTTACAGCAGCTTCTCCGATGTCAAACGTGCTCTCCTGCCACTCAGATTTGGACCACAGCCTTTCTGTTCAGTTTTCATGCACCTCTTCTCTACCCAAACTAGGGTTGCCAACCCTCCAGGGGTCTCCAAGAATTAAAGATTAACGTTTATTAAAGATCGTGTCATGTGATGACCCCCCCGCCTGCCGCCAGGAATATGTCCAACCAAAACTGGCAACTCAATACTACCAGCTGTCTGCATTGTGCTGCAAGAGAAGCAGCAGGTCTCTGGCAACATTGTTATCCAAGTACTTTGGATGTTTTGCTCACAAGGTAGTTGCTGTGTTGCTGCACGTGAGGTGGAGAATGGGATCTCCCTTCTCTCTCACTTGTACGCTCACGATAAGAAATCTGCTCTTGGGCTAATGAGAAATGGCAAGCAGGCCCCCGTTTGGGTTTGCAACCTGTCCTGCCCACTGGGAAAGCTCTGCGTGCAATACCATTGAAGGGTCCTAAAATGGATACTCATGGTAGTGCCAGGCCTCACAACATGTCTTCACAGCAGCACTGTGTGGCAGAAAGGCCTTGCATCATGCTGGCGGCCGTGGCTTTGCAACTCGGTGTTGTGACACAGCGCACTCAGAGGCAACTGCAATGGCATCACGTGGTGACAAGCAGCTTTGGCTGAACAGCTTGTGTCGCGACCCAAATGTCCTGATGTCTCGGCACAGGTTCACACCACACTGCTCACTAACTAACTGTTGAGAGGGAGCAGGGCTCGACTGCAAAAATAAATTGCTCATTGGATTTCAGAGCGTGGGGCTTTCTGGATGAGAGCAGGTTTGGTCAAAGTGTTTCGGGCTTTTTTAAATCCAGACCAAACAAACTTCACAAGTGGCTTCCTGAAGCACGGAGCTCCCAAGCCCACCATAAGAGGAACCATTGTCCTTTCTGAACAGCAGCACATTGTACGTGCTCTCTTTGCTTTTCCTTTTTATATACCCTGGACTCTTAGAGAGGGGAGTATATGTGCATTGAAATGATTTGGCTTGGTGTATAATGAGAAATGAGTTTCCTCCTCTAATCCTATTGTAGGAATGAAGAATGAACCTGTTTTGTAAAAACTCCTTTCTTTGTATATTAGTTCTAGGAATGATGGACTCTGGCTGCCGTTCTCACTTATGGCATGAGCAGAGGGTTGGATGCGAGGGTGGGCTCTCTCATAAAGTCTCCGAGAGCTGCAGATCTTCAGCAGCAGAAGCAGGCTGGTAGAGGTGGTCATTACCTATTTGCTCAGGGCAGTAAAATCTCCTAAATCCAATCTTCCTGGCTGATGCTTTGCTAAGACTCATTGAATCTTTTTTTACTGAAAACTTTCAGCCACTGAGCACACTGTGTCTTTGCCAATTAAACCCTTCTGCATCCTTTGTCCTGCTGTCCTCCCCGCCTCCCTGGTGTCTGAGTGCTTAAGTAGTATTTGCCCACCACTTGTCTGCAAGTTACTAGTTCGTGCACATCTTCGAGGAAGCCAAGCTATTGTTGGCTTATGGGGCCAGCATCCGAACCTGGTGATGAAATCTGCCAGTGGGTTGCCTTCCAGCCTTGTTCTACTTGTGGGTACAGGCCTTCCAGCCTTGTTCTACTTGTGGGTTGGGAATCAAGCAGCATGCCGTTTCCCTTTCCATGCCCACTGGAGAGAGACTTTCAGCATTCTGAGTTGCTGGGTTTGCATAGGGTCCTGAGCAGTCTCTTGCATAGCATGTGCTGCCTGTTACTGTGCACACAAGAGGGGCTGAGTGATCTTGTGTGGCTGGACCATAATTACAGCTTTAATGTCATCTAGCTTTTTGTGCAGTCGCACAGACTATCCTGGCCCTGTAGCCAGTGTTCCCTCTAAGATTTTCCGTCCTTGAGCAGAGTGAGTTTTGTCTTGTGCACTAGTGTGTCTCGCCATGGCACCCAAGCTATAAACCTCTCCCTTTTCCCCTCTGCTGCCCCATCTGTTCCCCTGGTGCCTGCTGCTGCCCCCCCCACCCTTCACCCTCCACTGCTGTCTTGGCTCCTGCCCTTCTCACTCCCCTCTGCCCTCCTGGGACTTGCCCCACCCCCCCATCCTCTCTAACTCCTGCACCTGCCCTTTTCCCCTGTGCCCACCCCTCTTCTAGCTCCTCTCCCCATCCCATCTCCGAACACCTTCCTCTACCCACCTACCCTGCCTCTCTTCTCTGTCCTCTGCTGCCCATTCCTCCCCTCCCTATGCCTGCCCTTCCCCTTCACCCCCCCCATCTCCCTTACCCCCTGCACTCTCCCGGTGCCTTCCCCTTCCCTCACTGCCCCTGCCTTCCCGACACCTGCCCCTCTTGCCCTTTTTCTCCCGTGTGCCCACTCCCTCACCATCCTCTGCCCCAGTTCTCCTCATGCCCCTCTGCACCCTCACACATAACTTGCTCCATCCTCTGCCTTCCCCATGCCCACCCCTCCTTTCAACCCCTCTTCTCCCGGCACCCACTCCTCCCTCTCATCTTCATTCCTCTTGCTCCATTGCCCCTTTCCTCTGCCCTTCCCCTTTCCTCTACCAGCATCACCCTGTCCCTTCCCTTTTCCCACCCCCAGTGACACCTTCCCCTTTGTTCCCCCATAGGCACTTACAGACCGATTGAGTCCCCCTTAGAACCGGAGAAGGGCTGAAGCTGGGGCTAGGGCCATATAATGAATGCTCCTGAGGCTGGCCTGTGTGGTGGGCAGTTGCCCCATGTGCCAGGGCTGGAGCTGTTCCTTTCCGGGCCCCCTCTTCTCCCATTGGCGCAAGTCCCTGCCTCTCCTCACCCCCCATCTTCCCCTTAGTTCTCCCCCTGCCTCTTCCCTCACCTTCTGCCTTCCTGACACCTGCACCCCTCAACCCACTTCGGCCCCCTGGTGCTGGCCCGTGTGGTGGGCAGTTGCCCCATGTGCCGGGGCTGGAGCTGGGACCACGGTTCTTTTTTAGTACCCTGGCCCAGGAGCAGCTGCACCATGGCACGGCTCCAATCCTGGCACACAGGGCAGCCACCCACCCTGTGGTCCCACCCTGAGAGCAGCTGGGGCTGGGGCCAGGACCTTGGTACTAAAAATAGCACCGTGGCCCTGGCTACAGTCCTGGCACCTGGGGCGCGGCTGCGTGGTGAGTGGCTGCCCCATGGGCCAAAACTGGAGCTGGGGCTGCAGCATAGCTGCTCCTGGCCCGGGGCCAAGGAGCTTCTTTTAGTACCGCAGCCCAAGCTTCAGCTTTGGCAGCTGCCCTCCTGGCCACAGCTCTAGCCCTGGGGAAGGGCTGAAGCTAGGACTGCACTGCTTGTGTCTACCCAGCTGCTCCTGGTGTGGGGTAGCTGCCTGCCACATGGCCCCGCCCTGGAGCAGCTGAGCAGCCACTGCATGGCTCTGCTGAGGAGGTGGGCAGGAGGCAAATTCTTGGTGTGCACCTGCGCAGGTGCATACCTTAGAGGTAACTATGCCTCAGGCATAAATCAGTCAATTAACTGTCCATATCAGAGCTGCTCAGTGACTATAGATTTCTCAAAGTTCTCCCAGAACTGAAACGACAAATGTTAACAGCAAGTCCTGCAGCAGCAGCAGCACTACGATTCCCACTGGAGAGCTAAGAGCCAGCCCTGTCTGACAGGAAGTGAAGCCGAGTACATCCATATCCAGCAGTAGTAGGCTACATGCTGTTCTCATTTTCACCAGTACAGCTCCATAAAGTCAATTGGTTAGACATGTGTACATGAAAGCAGAACTTTGCATGTTCTCTGACCTTTGTGAATGCTTCTGAATATGTTCATTGCTGCTGTGAATAAGAGGGGAAAACACCAGGACAAAGGAGCAGAGGCCCAGGGCCTTACAGAGTAAGTCGACATCCAGTACTGGTTCTCTTTGGGGTGGAGGGGAGATACTTTCTTGTTCACAGAGAACCGGTGAAGTAAATTTGGTATTGTCCCTTCTCCTCCTCCCCCCGCCCAACAATTCTGTTGACAGCATTGTTTGTTAGTGCTTGGCTGGTTTTGTAATAAAACAGATAAATGTTGCTTTAGTCTTGTGGTGACTTCCCGTGGAGCTTTAATTTCCAGGCTTGATCCCCCCTCCTCTGCATC